CTTAATAATTGATTCGACCCAATATATCTATTTTTAATATTTTTAGTGCAATTTTTTATTGGACAAGTATGTTTATTATGGCGTAACTATTTTTTGATCATTATTTAACTCAAAATCAATTTATAGTTTCGGAATCCACTTTTAATAGCAAAGCTCCCATTTGATTTAGGGATCCAATTTAGTATCATGATAGCATCATGATAGCATCCTGATAGTGTCTTAGAACTCTTCTGGAAATGTCATGAAACTGGTGGAAAGCTAGAGAGGTTCTATTAGTTCGCCAGTTTTATGCTAGTTTGGGTGACGAATTATTATATCCAAAGTTCTGGCCAAATTTATATAATAGTGCTGGTCGAAATTAAGCGAATTTATACTGTGCCTTATTGCATCATAGTTATGTGATACTATTCTGATAATAGAATACCCTTACATAGTTACGGGCTAGTGACAAGAATGTTCTGGGAATGTTTTCAAAACCAATATATATGTATTTGTGTTACATATTTTTTCAATTTTTTGCCGTTACTAAGAATTTATTTTCTTTGTTACAAGAAATTTTAGCATCCAAAATAGGTATTGTGAGAAAATACATATATTGTTAGAAGAGTCATCTGATAGTGTTCCCAGAAGGTTTTGTGTCAAGTGATATTTTATATGTATATTATTAGAAGATATATATACCAAATTTTTGCGAGCCATTCCTCCTATTCCTAAAGAAATTTTTCTGAAGACACTCATTGAAGATAACTATAATATCGTTTTTTTGGGATTTTAAGCTTATTGATTATGTTTTTCTTTATTTGTCCTTACTGTCTCTAGTAACCCTAGTAAAATAAAGTTCTAGGAAAAAAATCAAAATTTTTCTATGCTATTCTTATGGATTGGCCTTTTATTGTGAAAAAGACCACCAAATTAAAGATTCTCGAATGGATAGTTCAACAAATATCAGTAAAACCACGTAAGAAAGCCAATGCTAATTCTATTCTTATTTGGAATTATTTTAGGGGAAAAGGGGAACTATCTAGTAGTAATTTCTTTCAGAGAAATTCACAATAGGTAAAAAAGACAGATAGGAATTTACTAGATAAGGATCGTAAAAAAACAGGATGTCGAGAATCCATTAAGATCAAAATCCATTCTAGTTTAAGTATTGAATCTTATTTTCTTAAACTCCCTGGATGTGTACCAATTGACATTTGCGTAAGTTTTATACAACTTCACCCCACTCTGAGAAAACATCACTCAAATTCTTCTTAGAAAAGTGTGGTCTCGATAGCAAAGCTGATATGCCTATAAGCAAATTATGGAAGTATTATTCAAAATAAAGATGGTACAGCAATTGATTTCAAATTTACAAAATGTTGCAACATAAGCTAAAATTAGTTGTAACATATATAGGTTAAAACTAATTGCAACGTAAGTTGCAATATTAAAAGTGACAACATATTAATTACAGTTTCCATCTTTAATTCAAAAGCAAGGGATGGGACTTCTGACTCTTCCAAAAAACATATGCACAAAATCGTAAATTATTGTATTATAGATGCTTTACATTGTTAGGAGCTCATAGTCAAATCATAATGTTATAAATAATTACAGAGAGGTTACCTCAATCACTCATATATCATTATTTGACTCACATTATTATGCTATAGGAACAAAAGTATCTAATCTCTTAGGCGTTAAAGCTTGGGCGCAGGATATTCTATACATCACAAAAATTTTCAATCAGAAAACATCTGGGAAGTTTCTAGGAGCGTATGTATTCCCGCTGGAGAAAGGTCTTAAAAATAAACATCCTGTCAAAGGATTAGACTTTGCTTCCTTATACCCTAACATAATCATGACCTACAACCTATTACCTGAGAAGATGGTCTCAATACTTTTAGAAGCAGATAAACTAAAGAGAGAGAATTAAGTGCTTCACAGTATCAAGTTTAAGTATAGTGGTAAACCTGTACAAGCCTGAACCATACGGCATAGGAATAAATCTGATTAGAAAGGTTTATTTCTAATATACTGAATAAACTAAAGGTCCAGCTAAAACCACTTGAAAAGAAAAAGAAATATATGGGATTAGTTAAAAGTAGAATGAATGCTAACGGATCTATCTTAATAGCAAGTGCAATCGAAGATGTTTGTTCGCAAAGTGAATCTAAGAAGCATGCAGAAATAGCTGATATCCTGAATCTTTTCATTGGTTCGTTATATGATAATTTTAGAAAAGAATATGATTCTATCTGCTTCGATTATAATTCTCTAAATTCGAAGCAGAAAGCCATTAAATTGTATATGAATTCGTTCTATAATGTAACTGGTCAAAGTAACTCCCCATTCTATATACTTGAACTCGCTGGGGGCGTTACTTCAGCTGGGTAAGAAAAATATTAAACTCGTTGTAGAGTTCGTGAAAAAGAAAGGTTTTGGGATAAAATATAGTGATACCGATTCCCTATATCTAACTTGCACAGATTCATATTATGAGAAATGCGATTTATTTTATGATGTTGAAAAGGCGTAATCTCAAAACAAGTGTACTAAACTGAAATGGTCAAATTTATTATGGGAATAATGGAAAAATTGCACAACGAAGTAAACAACTTTCTTAGGTTAAAAATATGATCAAATTATCTCAAAATGACTTATGAAGAAGTACTATTTCTGGTAGTATTCACTAGAAAGAAAATGTATTTTGGCATTCCCAATGAAGATACCCTGAATTTTAAACCTGCAGAGTTTTTTATAAGAGAAATTGATACTGTGAAACAGGGTAAATCCCAAGTTTTCAAAACCATAGGAGATCAGATTATGTGGGGAGTCATGGATATTAATAATGACTGATCATTCCATGATATTGCTGAAAATATTTTCAGGGATGCTTTAGTTAATACTAAGCAATAGAATTTCGAACAGTTTATAGAAACCAATGCATGGAAACCTGATAAAGACAATAAAGCCATTCAGCGATTTATAGGACAAATGAGAGGAGAACATGAGAGTAAAATTCTGACGCTAGGTGAGCGCTTTAATTATGTAATAACCCATCCTAACACAACTTTAAATTTACATGATAGAAAATTAACGCTAACGAAAGGTGAAAGAATGGAATTCGCTGATGTGATGAAGAAATTGGATAAGGGGCTAGATTTATATCATTATTTTGAAAAAACTATTATTGGCCTCTGTGTCCGATTTATTATATATGATAAGAAATACAAGCCAGCTCTCTCAAATAAGATAATGCAAATCAAGAATCCAGATGAGAAATATAAACAAATAGATAATTATGCATAAAAGAAGGTCAAATCATGACTTAAGAGTTTCGTGAAGGAGAATATCATAGTTAATGGTGTTACTTCTAAGATGATGGGATTCCATGGGATTGTTTATAAGCGTGTTTACAGAAATGTGGTTAAAAAGTGCAAGAAATGTTATATCAAAAGATAGGCAGTTTATACGAAATAATCTATGGTAAATAGTTTAACTATAAGATTTTCATAGAAAGTAATCCTATCAAGATATTATGGGGGAGATTCATGAAATGCGCTATAAAAATTGCAAAAGATAAAACCTCTCAGTAGATGATGAAGTGAAAGAAAAAATATGCTCTGATTTTGCTCGATATCCTAGCGAGCTTGTAAAATGTATTGAAGAGTATAATTTATTCTTTCACGAATTAGTCTATCATATGCGTTACAAAGAGCATGTTGTTATCCAACTAATGATTAGGTGAACTGAAACACATAATCAATTGAGTAGTAGCAAGATTTAGCTCAATCTTTATATAGTTTTGGAAGAGACTTTGGTTAATTCTGGTTTCTGTTGACTTCGGTATTCTTTCATAGTTAAGTTTCAGAATTGGCAAGTATGACGACTTCCAATTCACTTCAGGTAACTCGTAATTTCTTAAGAAGTTAAGAAATTACCTTGATGACATTATAATAAATTATTATAACCAAGTAGCGACATTCAGCTTAAAGAATTCACAGTATCAAATACTTTAACTTGTTAATAACCTTAGCACAGTTGATAACGTTTAAGTAATTTGGGAATTTACTTAAATCAGGATTGACACTAAGCAGGGTTGATGACGTTAAGTAATTTACAATTACTTAACCAAAGTTTAACACAAAGCAATTGATAACGTTAAGTAATTCAATTATTACTTAACCAAGGGTTAATACAAAGCAGGTTTTGATACAAAGCAATTTGTTTGTACAAGACAATTTAGCAAAGAGTTTTATTTTCTTATAAAATTAACTTCCTAAATTTTCTATCAATACATGATGAAAAACTCAGCTTATTTATAATAAAATTTCTACACTAAATTGCTATCTATTGCATAAAAACTATGTAATGATTCCCTTTTTTTCTCGATGTAATATTGTTGTAATAATTGAGTAATGACTACCTAATCACTATGTAATAGTCCTTTTAACTATGATATATATATATGTGAAGAGATATAGAGAATATAATTATATTGTTCTTAAACTATTACTACATCCTTATACTTAGCCTTTTGACTAGTTTTTCCTTGAAGTTCCTATTTGGAGTTTTTAGTTTAGAAGATTACGCATATCATTATAAGCTAATGATCCATTACTTCATTTCTTCATTAACTGATTTGGTTAGTTTTGCAGATCACCTTTTGTCGACTATTGTGGCATTGATTCTTGCAGATCAATTCACATAATGATTATTTGTAGATCACTTTTACTGCGTCATATTTCCAATTTGCTGAAGATCATTTGGGTTACAATATATATGTTTTATAATTATTTTAATAGAAATTTTATATATATGTATATGAGTTGTATCGTTGGGTATTTGGCTATTTTGCTATTCATAAATACTAGGTTTAATATTGGCAATAGATATTATATTACAAATCTTAAAGATGAATTACAATATTATCAACCAAATATATTGGAAAATAATATTATAGAATTAGTTCAAGAATCATTAAGTAAATTATATGAAGAACCAGTTGAAAATGATAAAGCAATCATTTTATCAAATCTAAATGATCCAGAAATATTAAGTGATAATACTGACAAGGAAAATTTAAATATACAGTATCTACATTATTTGTTTAGAATTGATTGTTGTGATTGAATATGTAGATGTTTTTAATTTTGAGAATAGAATAGATATAAATAAGAATAATGATGAAACCAATTGCTGCATAAGAGTAGTGGTTAAGGGTGAGAATGGTAAATTAAAGATATTTTTTGTTTTTATAAAATTCAAAGAGATATTTGTAACTAGTAAAACTTTTTAAATTTTTATTTAAAAATGAAATTTTTTTTGTTTTTTTTAAAGAAAATTAAATTGTACATGATATTGAAAAAGAAAAATCAATTAAATTTATAATAAAGTTGCGATTAAATTGTTATTAAATTTATAATAAAATTTGTAATATTTAATTGATTATATAATTAATTTATGATTAATTCTATAATCAATTATGATCAAATTGATAATAATACATTTAAACAATTAAGTTTATGATTTAATTGTGATTTAGTTGATGAATAATATTTAGATTGTTTTAATCGAACGATTCATTTATCGTTCGATGTAATGTTTTAGGCAAAACTGTTTTGTGATTGGTAAAATGATTTACTTTTTTGATCAAATTTCAAAATTTTTGCCTAAACTTCTGTAACCTTCAAAACCTGCTCAAATTTCCGTAATTTCCAAAACCTACAAAAAGGTAAATATTATTTTCTTTTTTATTTTTATTAAAAAAATCACACACCTTCATAGGAACTTACCTTTGATTTCAAAGCTTGAGAAACTCCAGAATCCTAATAGCAAAGCTTCTGGAAATCTTGGAATTATACCTACAAAATAAATAAAGGTAAGTATATTTGTTTTTATTTCAATTTAAAGAAAAATAATTAAAATTAAAATAAAGAAAAAACTTACCTCCTTTTGTAGATGCAAAAGTCCTCCAGAATCCTGATGCCGAAGCTTGGAATCATGAAATCCTACAAAATAAACAAAGGTAATTAATTTGTTATTATTTTAATTTAAAATAAAAACAATTAAAATTAAAATAAAAAAACTTACCTCTTTTTGTAGATGACGAAAGACCTCCGGAATCCTGGAATTGAAAAAAGGTAAGTTTTCGTTTTTCTTTTAATTTAAAAAAATAATTAAATTTAAAATTTTACTTACTTCTTTTTGTAGATGTTGAAGCCTTCTGGAACCTACAAAAAGATAAGCACTAGTTGCTTTTTTTTTATTTTCTTTTAAAAAAATTCTCACACACTCCGCTCCCTCTATAGGAATTTACCTCCGATGATTCCAAGGCTTGAAGAATTCCAGAATTCTACAAAAAGGTAAGTATTAGTTTCTTTTTTTATTATTTTTTTTTAAAAAAAAAATTCTCACACCCTCCCCTCCCTCTATAGGAATTTACCTCTGATGATTCCAAGGCTTGAAGAACTCTGGAATCCTACAAAAAGGTAAGTATTAGTTTCTTTATTTTTTATTTTTTTTAAAAAAAAAATTCTCAAACCCTCTCCTCCCTCTATAGGAACTTACCTCTGACGATTCCAAGGCTTGAAGAACTCTGGGATCCTACAAAAAGGTAAGTATTAGTTCCTTTTTTTTTTATTTTTTTTTAAAAAAAAATTCTCAAACCCTTCCCTTCCTCTATAGGAACTTATCTCTGATGATTCCAACGCATGAAGAACTCCAGGATCCTACAAAAAGGTAAGTATTAGTTTCTTTTTTTTTTATTTTTTTTAAAAAAAAATTCTCAAACCCTCCCTTCTCTCTATAAGAACTTACCTCTGACAATTCTAAGACTTGAAGAACTCTGGGATCCTACAAAAAGGTAAGTATTAGTTTCTTTTTTTTTTATTTTTTTAAAAAAAAAATTCTCAAACCCTTCCCTTCCTCTATAGGAATTTACCTTCAGTTCTAAGGCTTAAAGAACTCCAGAATCTACAAAAAGGTAACATAGTTAGTTTATTTTTTATGTTTCATTTTTTTAAAAACCTATTTTAATGCATCCACCCATCCTTTATAGGAAATTACCTCTGATTCTAATGCTTGAAGAATCCGAGATCCTACAAAAAGGTAAGTATTAGTTTATTTTATTTTTTTTTTAAAAAAATTTCTCATATCCTCCCCTTCTCCATAGAAACATACTTCTGATTCCAAGACTCAAATAACTCTGAAACCTACAAAAAGGTGAGTTCTTTTTCTTTTTTTCAACAATTTCACTAAGTATTAGAGGTTTTGGACATTTCAGAATTAATGACAATGGTGAAACCACTTTCAATCAAATGATGTCTATATCATTTGATGGAATGATATTTTCCAATCAAATAAATGTTGCAACTAAGATTGCTAGGCTAAATCCAGAGTTTAGACAGACATCTAAATGATAAAGGTAAATTATATTAAAATCTTATTAAAAAATCCGCAAAATTCAGAAAAAGGTAAAACTATATCAAAGTTTATAAAAATGGCGAAACTATATCAAACACTTAGTAAAAATTTAG